GCCAGGTGACAGCAGGGGTAGCAATATTTACCACTACAAAAGATTTACTGCCTGATAAAAGGAACAAAACCTCAACCCTCGTGGAATAACCCATGTCCCAACACTGCTGTTAAGTTAGGGAAGAGTATGGACACTGTAGGACAGTATGAAGACCTCCATTGATTCCTGCGGTGGTCCTGTATCAGACCCCTGGTTATTTAATTGTACTCAGATATCTCTCTGACTATAGGTGGGAACTTGGTGTCACCTAAATAAGCCCTATGGGATCAGCTCTAACATGTTTTTGTTCTTAGCTGCTTTCATGTGTTTATAACTACTCCGCTGGAGCAGGCCTGAGAAGACTGTAGAAAAAGGAGCAGCAAGTCTCTGCTGTCATCTCAGGCCAAAATCCAATAATTTACAGCAGCCTGAGGAGCGTATACGGATGTCTACGCACACACACGTGTGGAAAGGTGATAGTAGCCTGGAGGACTGGGATTTATGATCATTCCAGAAGTATGCCAATGAATAAAACGTTCATAATAATATTTAGGGCTAGATCAATATATATGGATTTATGAAGCCATTTAAGAAAAACACAAATATACAACAATTTATGAGGGTGTGGGGAAATATACCATTAGAGTAAGGATGCACCATACAAACTCGTCAACCACTCTAGGATTTACAGCCATGTACAGGAAACTACTACTAAAAGCAAGATTGAAGGCTGTATAAGCCCATCTAATCATACATCTGTTTTTCAGAGAAATCACTTCCAGCACAGCAGTGACTGTGGAAACTTTGCAGCACTCATGCCAAACTGGCTGTCCCCCAGGTGCAGGAGCCATGCTTGGACAGGCTGAGCCCCACACCGTGGAAGGCCAAGAGCAGCCCAAAGCATCCCCATCACCACGAAGGTGGTAGTCAGGGGAGATCAAGATGGGTGAAGGAGTCATTGGCTCTTCTGGGCTCCCAAGAGCTCCAAGCAAAGGGAAATTGTTCCCGCTGCGGGGAACTGGATGTAAGCACAGCATCTATGCTTCCCTGGTGGCTGTTTCATTTCAACCCCAGACAAATAAAATGAGTATTTCCCAAGGGGTGATGCTCACCTTTCCTCTCATTAAAGCCAGGAAGTGGGCTGCAAGGGAAGGAAATACGTGGTGATGGAGCAGCTCCCAAACCACAAGTACTGAGGCAGGGCTGCAGTTCAGCATGAGAACTGGAATAACATCCTACTACTCTTTATAAGTGGATATATTTCCATGTGGATTTTTTTGGCACATGCATTGTTTTCCATACTTTGGCAGACAAGTATGGTCCTAATTTAATGAAACATTATGTGCCAAACCGTATTATAATAATTCACGTTAGCACTTCAGCCATTTTCACCAATGATGACTCTACGGAAAACAATCTGTTAAAGCAAAAAGGATTTTAGTCATAAGGAACCATGTCAGAAGAATATAAGTGAAAGTGACTTGCAAGAGATCGGGGTGAATTATTTATATATTTACATACCTATATTTTTTTATACGATTTAGCTCATGAATTCTAGAATCTGTGTGAATGGTCTTTAGATGGACTGTGGATTAAAAAAAATTGTTACTCAAGATTGTTCTGCAAGTGTTTCAGACCTAGTTTCACATGACGCAGGAAGCATTTGTCCCAGGTACCCTTGATTCATTATCAATCAGAAGGATCAAGCAGTCTCTACTTGCTTTACTTGCTTCATTAATCATCTTTTTAATGATGCAAAAGAAGCAAAAATAGGAGCAAAAGAGAGAAGTAAAACTAAATTTTAGAGAACAAAGGAAATAGAATAGTTCTGCACACACACAGGATCAAGTAATTACCATTGTCACATTTTTCAGGGGTGAAATTAGTCTTTAATGGATAAAAATTCTGTGACAGATTAAAGTCAATGCTGGGAAATTTCTAGTGCCGGGAACTAATAATTTCTGAATAGCTTTATACAATGCTGTTGTATAAACAGCCCTCACTGTAGGTACAGCCCTGCAAAAAGAGACATTTTCCCAGCTCCAGCTGAATTCCCTGGGAGCCAAGGCCAGTCATCCCTACTAGAAGTATCTTTGTACCTTATGAGAATAGCATCTTGAAACACCCAAAAGATTCTGCAGCTCGTGGACAGCCCGGTCCACGTTGCTTGGGGTAACCTTCCCACCCTTGGAGATACTCAAAACCTGTCCCCAGGGCAAAGTCCCGAGCAACCTGAGCAAGCTGGACCTGCTTTGAGCAAGGGCTTGATCGTGAGACCTCTGGATGTCCCTCCAACCTAAGTTATTCTACAGTTCTGCTGCACTGTTTGAAATCCACTGCTCAGACACACAGGGAACTCCTTGGTAATGTAATTTTACAACAACCTGCTGAAATTTCTTTGTGTCCATCGCTTTAATCTCTCAAACTCAGCACTTTCCTAGGAGGTATATCCCTCGTTTCAGTGGGAAAAACTTCTCTGAGCATAAGCCTCCTCTGGAGTACGGCTGTTGCCTGAGCCAGTCCCTAGGTGTAGCTCCTGCCTGGCAGTACCAAAGGGTAGGATTGGCCTCTCCTGCCTTTGGTGATCTTGAAGTCAGAGCCTGGTCTACGGGGGTGGGGTGGGGTGGTGGTCAACTGAGGAAGACAAAAAATCCAGAAAAGACTTCATCCCATTTTAAGACAGCAGGGCTAAACTGCCACCTGGAGGTGCCTGCCTCCCTCCTCTCCTCACAGAGGCAGCCCAGGCAACAGCTTTTGGACTGGGCTCTGGTTTTCAGGCAGCTGGCATTACGAGGTGAACGCCTGTTCCATTGCATAGAAAAAACCTGGGTGTAAATGGCCACGTCTCCATGTGACAAAAGGTTTGAGAGTGCAGCATTGAAATCTTGAGAATTCAGTGCCCTTTCCTAAGTACAGGGAATCTCCTCTTTCTCCCCTTTGGGGCAATAAACATTGGACTTGCCACTAAAAGAAGTAGCACGAGTCAAGCAGATCATCTCTGGATAATTTCCTTCTCCTTTGTGGACTGTTTTTGTTTTCCTTTCTGTTGCTAGCCTCTGAGAACAAATGTCCTGTGTTTTCACCACACGTGTGTAAAGAGAAACGTTTGTGGAGCACTGAGTATTAACCAGTTCCTAGAAAAGGAGCTGGAACATCTCTTCTCCCAGCTGAATCTCTGTGAGCTAAATTCCTTGTAGCAAGAGGGCAGTGGTGCTCACAGAAGCTGACACTTAAAAAGCAGGGGAGGGCAGTAGCATTGTATGCTATCCTGTATATGCAGCACTTCCCTTCAGCTGACTGCCAGCCACCGCACATGGGACATCAGCATTACCGTTCCCATTTCACAGAAAGGGCAGTAACAGGGAGTTCCCCGGGGAGGGGAAGTCAACCACAGACTCAGGACTGACTCCAAAGTCATCATTCAGAGCTGAGTTTCTTGCAGTCTCTCTTGGCTCAGGCTGCATTAAACCCCACTCCTACCACGGCTGAGGGTGAAGGGATTTTTGTCCATGCTTAGAGATTCAAGGTACAAACCATGGACAGATGTGTTAGAAAAGAGCAACAGGAAAAAAAAGTGAATGCATTCTCTTAAGTGGACTGTGCAATGTCAAAAAAAGTGTTAAATTTCTTCTTCCAATATAGAATATCTGATTAAAACAAATGCAAACTGCACACAATGCAGTAAAAAACAAATGTTCCATTTTCCACTTTTTCTTGCTACAGCTGTTTGTTTTAAACATATAAAGATTAAGGGAACAGTCTTGAATTTAATTAAATCCCAAAAGAACTAATGATATTTATGCATATTAAATTTTTAAAGGCACTTGTAGCAGTTCAGCCAATCATTCATTGGACTGTCATAACATGCCTCCCAACCCTAATTTAAATTAGAAAGAAGAGACCCATGAAAAAAATGTGCAGACAGTACTGCACATATGTTTAAGAGATAAATGCCCATCTAGCTTTAAAAGGCAACAAATCTAATAAATGGCCACATCATCATAATTCAACGGTGGAAAAAAATCAATGTTACAAATTTCAGAACTGCATCTCTCAGGAAAGTAAATTAAAACATCAATTCAAACCTACTTTAAAGAGTTTATAAGGGGAACATTGACGTCTTAACACAGAAACTCTCAGATCACTCTAGATGAAGCTGAGGCTTTCCCAGAGCTGTGATGTAGGGAGCAGCGTTTGGTGGGGCCATCTTTGGAGCACAGCAGGAAGCCCCGCTCTGTTCGTTTGCTTTTCCCCTTCTCTAGCGAGGTCATGCCTTTCTCTAGGCCTGTATCTTCAAGAAGCCAACAGGTATGTTAGGACCTGGGGCTCTGATGAAGATGTCTCAGTGAGAGGAAAAATGCTTTCTTGCTCTTTTTGCAGTAAATCAAGAAAGCCTCTGATGTGGCCCTGAGTAAGTCTCTGCTCCAAAGCTACAATCTCCGAACCTTCGACATTATTACCTTGGCTTTAAATGCAGCCTGCAAATCATAGAAAAGACCTCCAAGATCATCAGGTCCAACCGTCAACCCAACACCACCGTGCCTACTAAACCATGTCCAGGCCTCCTATTCTTCCACCCTGTGTAATTTTTCTCCCCTGTGTACTCAACTTTTTGTTATCCCAGTTCATTCATAGTCATCTCTCCTGCCTTAAACAACAGACTCCTCCTCCCTGCATCTCCTAAGCACTAATAAAAGGTGTTTCCCATCCACCTACCTTTCAGCCTTGCCATACAGCATTAACCAGAGATAGCTCTGAAAGCTCAATAAAGTACAGCTTCTCGCTAAACAGAAAGCCCCAAACACGGCTCCTTCTCTCACAAGCAATTCTGCTGACTTTCTCGAGTAAGGATCCCAACCCTGTTTAGAAAAGCACTTCCTTGCCTATGGTTAAGCCTGTTTTTATGGTTTATCAATCATAACAGGAAAAGACCCAGCCTTTAAATACTGCTGTGTTCCTGTTTACGAAAGACTCTTCAACCTTACTTTGCTGATATGACACAGTCTTTGCCAGGCACTTACCTATCAAATACTCCAGCCAGAATTGGTCTGTCTCTGGCTTGTAGGGTCGGTTGAAGTCAATCTGGATTTGGAAAGCCTGTCCCCGACGCACGATCAGCTTGGGGCTGTCGTACTTGTCAGTGTGGTGCTGCTGCTTGTTAATCTCGTGGGGGTCCTTGAACATATAAACGTTCACAACATGCAGGTAATCTGCAGAGACACGTAAATGAACAGAAAGGGAAGGGGTCAGTACCCTGGAATGTCAATATGGACATCAACATCATTAGAGGCCCCATTGTCCCCTTCCCCAGCATTGCCTCATCGAGGAACACTGTGCGACAGATCTGGAATGTCACTATTGACATCAACATCATTAGAGGCCCCATCGTCCCCTTCCCCAGCATTGCCTCATCGAGGACGCTGTGCAACAGAGCATGCTGGATCTGTTTGGGGCTTACATTCTCCTGGCTGAGCAGGGACTTGGGGACTGACGCTTCCCTGTCCACCTGCCATTTTCACAGAGGCTGCAAGGCTTCTAGTGAATGGCAAAAGAAATTTCAGGAAGGGCAGGTTGCTACGGGTAGGAAGCTGATTGTCCCCAAGAAGTGTTGGCCTCCATCTTCCCTTTGGCACTAGCATTCTGCAAGCCTGGGCCTTGCTGTCATAAGTTTGCCAGCGCAGTCAGTGGGCCTTTGACAGCTGTGGCTTCACGTCTTCCTTCTTGCAGCCCTCCTTTCGCAAAATGCAAATTCACGGGGGTTTTGTGACGCTTAAATACATTAATGTTTGCAAAGTGCTACTACTATCGAGAGCTGAAGAGCTTGAGAGGCAGTTAATGATCTTGCATTCAGCTGAGAGCTTGGATTGTCTGTATTAAATAAGGCTTTGGTGTACCGTGTGTGTCTAGACTCAGCTTCTCAGTACACCTCCACTGCTATTAGTGTCTTCTTATGAAAACTAAATATAACGTTACAGTATATAATTACAGCATAGAGTTATAGGCAAGCAGCAGTAGGTATCTATAACATGCACGGGCAAAGCTTCACTTGCTTCGAATTAGGGCTGTCTAAAGGGTTATAGCCTACCACTGCTAGAATTGAGGCTGCTCAGCTAATGACAAGCGTGGGGTGGCACTGGGATAGCCAAAGGCACTTACAGTCACCACAAGCTACACGACTGAACCGTACCTGGAATCTTCACAATGGGAGTCTTCTCGCACGACGAGCAACCCCGTGAAAACGAACTGGACGTCATTCTTTTGCCTACATGCTTGGGCAGATAATCGCAAAACCTCTGCCAGGTTTTGCTCACCAACCATTACTGCTCACCACCAGGAGAGAGACAGAAGAGTAAAGTTTGATTTGCAACTCTCAGCTTGTCTTCCCAGGTGCTGATGGTTAGAAACTGGCTAATTTCTGCATTTTATACTGACAATGACAGAGCCAAACTCATGCCTGGCAAAAAGAGGTGCACATTTACAGCAGCTGGTAGAGCTGCGTGTACTCGTGATGGTGGCTAATTTGGCCTGCTACTGAGTACACCGTGAGCAGGAA